GATTTCAGCAATAAGACATAAAAAATATTATGAATCTGATAGCTCAGAGAAAGCTTCAGTTGATATATATTATTTTCTATAGCCTCTATTATTGAGAAAGGTCTGTAGTACTTGTTGTCTAACTTCTTGTAAGAATATATTGTTTGTAGATTTCTTGATAACAATATTACTTTATCACCAGATGCATACACTTTATCTTGATATTTTTGATTATAGAACTATACTTGGTTCTCTTTTATGTTTATCAAATATTCTACAAGACTATCTCTTAATGTAGAGATTATTCTCAGTCTTCTGTTAAGTGTTATCTGTATGTTATTGTTGTTGTTAACTGACTTCTGAATCTTGTCTGATTCTCTAGATTTAAAGCTGTACATTGCTTTAAATAGAAATATATGTATTGTGAAGTATTCTGATCTGTTGTATGCAAATTCTGCATACACAAGCCACTTCTCTTAATTATCTTGTCTATAACTACAATAAGTATGAAGATATCTCTTTAAAATCTTGTTCAGTGTCTCTGTTTGACTATCTGTTTATGAGTGGAATGCTGTACTAAGTTTTTATCTAACTTTCATGTGAAAACATAGCTCTGATCAGTATTCACTTGTAAAAACAGATTTCTAATCTGAAATAATATTGTTTGAAAATCTGAAATCTTTAAATACTCTTCTAAACAGAAGATTTACTATCTCTGGTGTATTAATCTTCTTTCTATATACAAGAAAATGTGCAAGCTTTGTAAATTGATCCACAACAACCAGAACTGCATTGTATGAATTTCTCTTCTCTTTACTTGAAGAGAGATCTGTTATAAAGTTTATGAATATTAAATGCCAGAGATTACTGGATGTTAATAATAATATAAGTAATTCATATAATTTGTGTGTTGGAGTCTTTTCTTGTTGGCAGATTTGACATTTGTGTATGTATGTCTGAACATCTTGTCTTATTAATTATTAATTGTATTTTTACTGGAGTAAGACAAATGTCTTTACTACACTAAAGTAATTTATAAGTAAGTTGTTGTGATGAACTTGTAGTAGTTTCTGTCTTAAAGCTGAATTATTAGACATATAGATTCTGCCACTCTTCATCAAAAAAACTTGTTTGTCTATTTTCCACTCTGACTACTAAGATTCTGTCTTAATGAATCTTGCTTGTACAGAGGGATTATCTTTCTGTACTTCTAGCAGCAGATTCAACATACTTACAGTTAATTTATTATAGATCTTTTTATCTTTTATTACTGTATTTATGTGCATATGGAGAATTGAGAATCTTTTGCAATTTCTTTATTAAGTCTTCCTAGCATCTCTGGCTGATGCTTTCTGAACTAACTTAATTATCTTGATATTATCAGATCTTCTCTGTACTATCTCTACTCTACTGCTTTGGACAGCACAAGCAGCATGTACTTGAGTATCTTCTTCATTAAAGAAAGTTTCTTTAAATAAGTCTCACTCTGGAATACTATCTGTATAATATTGTTTGAGTATATATGTTGGCAGACCAATATCTTCTTCTAGTTTAATATAATCTGGTCTTTGTAATAATGTGTCAGCTGAGTTATGCTTTCCAGAGTGGTAGAGAATCTCAAAGTTACATATCTCAAGAATCTCTATTCATCTTATATGTTGTTGTTGTGCCATCTTGTTTGTAGACTTTATAAATGAATAAAGATTTGCATGATCTGTAATAATCTCTATAAAGTATTTTGTTTTTCTAAGTACTGCTACCAATAAATAAATACTTAGATAATGGCCAACATCTTCTTATCTGATGTGCTATAGACTTGTTGAATCTGGTCAAACTTAAATAACCAGTAGATAACTGAATGTTATCTGTTATTGAACAACTGTAGCAATATTATATCTGCAGCATGTTCTGAAGTATCTGTTTCCAGATATATTCTATATTCTAGATTATAGTAACATATGACAGATTCTCTGAAGAAGACTGCTTTTAATATGTGAAATGCTTTTCTGATAGTAAATATCAGAAGAAACAATTTCTTCTTTTGCTTATTTTTACTGTCTTTCAAGAGATCTATCAATAGTGCTATAATAACTGAGTCTTTTTGTATGAACCTCCAATAAAAGTTTACAAAACTCAGAAATATCTGAATATTATGGAAACTTCATGGCAAGAGCCACTTTATAATCATCTGTACCTGCTTTGGGTCCATCTTAATACTCTTAATATTAATGATATATCTGAGGTATGAGATTATTTATCTTTTAAAAGCACACTTAGCAAGCTTTGTAAATAACTGGTATTTTCTTAAATGCTTCATAACTAATCTAATATGCTTCTCATACTTCTTCTCTGAGATTGAGAAGATAAGAATATTGTCTAGATAAACTACACAACATATGTTAATCAGGCCTGCCAGCACTCTATTAATATAGAACTGGAAGATTGCTGGTGTATTTGATAATTTAAAAAATATAACAAGATACTCAAAACTCTCAAACTTTGTATAAAATATGGTCTTCCATTCATCTTCTTCTTTAATTCTAATTCAGTAATAGACATCACATAGATTTATCTTGAAAAAGTAGTGTGCTCCTGCCAACTGGCTTAACATCTTGTCTATTAATGGCAAAGAGTAATAGTTCTTCATCATAATTATATTAAGATCATGATAATTAATACAGAGTCTGAGTTCTTTATTAGTCTTGAGTATAAACAATACTGGAGCTTCTGCTGAACTTTGTAATGAATATATCTAATTCTTGCATAACTTGTTCTTGATATACTCTTGTAGAACCTTCATCTGCTTGGGTGATAGTTTATAGATTAGTATGTACAGGAGCTTGTAGCTGTCTTTAAAAATAATCAGATAACTGATCTTTATTAACTCCAGTAACTCTGCTGCTTTTTCTTCTGAGAAAATATCTTTATAGTCTCTTAATCACTCAGGCACTTCTGTCAGAATTTAGTTGTTGTCTGACACAAAAATAGTATAAGAGAGTTTGTTCTTGATATATACTGCTTAAAGAAATCTACCTGCATTCAGAAGTTTCATTATTTTCTCTAAGAGTTAATAATGCCATGTCTTGTTCTTCCAGTCTATATTCAGATTGAAATCTTTTAACTATAATATATCTAGAACTATATTCACATTAACCATGTCAATCACTATAAATGTATATCTTACCATCTTTGTGATTCCCATGGAGTCTGTTATAGTAAGTTAGATCTTATAGATGCTGTACTAATCAGTCTCAGCTCTGTTCAACATCTCAGTAACTTTTATAGATGTCTCTGGTTGATTCTAGTTCAATTGAAATGCCAGTTTGTAGAAGATACTGTTCACTGTAGTATCTGAGTTCAATAGTGCAGCTTGCTCTGTAAGATCATCTGATGAGGTAGTTAGTATGACTGACAGACACATACTGCATCTGCTTGCCTTCTCTATTAAATTAATGCTCTGTTTTTCTAATGTTTGATCTGAGTCTTGTATAGACTTTGTGGCTCTAGTCTTTGTCTGATTCTCATTCTTTTTGTCTGTCTGCTAAGACTTATTGGAGCTGTTTGTACAGAACTTTGCTCTATAGCCTGATTGATTATATCTTAGATAGAGCTCTTCATTCATTTGTTGTTTGTGTTTCTCTTCTGATATTTTTGGAAGTGATTTCATCAGTATTCTTTTTGTTTGTAGATAATCTTCTTTATTATCTTGTTAAGATATATCTTTCTCTTAAGAGATTAAGATTTTCTATTTCTTCTTATTTTGATTCTTGTTTCACTAACTTTACTTCTTCTTTTTTAGAATGAACTCAATAAGTATTACTTGTTCTTATAATTCTGCAACTGTTTTTAGTTGATATTGCAGTTTATTCAGTTCAGTCTGGATGATTAATCTGAGCTTTATCTGTATAAAGAGTACATGAAAAAATTCATCTGATAAACTGTTCAGATTCTGTTTGAGTTTGATAATGTATATGAAAAATGAGAGTATGAATTAGTTCTCTCATTAAACAGTATCATAATAATACTGCATTATGTCTCAACTACAAGTTATCTTGAGTTTAATGTTGTTCTTACACCACATCTTGAATTTATTTTATAATATAAGTAGTTGTTGTGAGAATTGTACATGTGAATCAGTGTAACAATGAATCTCTAAAGACAATATACATGGAAAAAGAGTATGTGAGGTAAAAGATCTGTATTCTGGCAACTATGTATAACTTGTAAACAAGATTACCACTAGCTTCCAGCAAGAGGTTCATGCAGTAATGGTCTTTTATGTGTGCTTGTGAGCATGTAATTTAATGTCTTGTGAGAATGCATGCAACTTCCAGCAGCTTGTGAGCTAAGCTTTCTGGCTCTTGTGGGTGCTGTTTGTCTGTATAAGAGGTTTACAGTAAATTCTTACAGATTCTCCTCTCTTATAAGCCTTGGTTCCTCAAGGCAGCTGTCTCATTAAAAATCTTCATGAGTAGAAAAATAAAAAACCTCTTGAGAAAAATAAAAATTTCCTCATAAGAAAAAGAGTACAGTCTCACTAGAGATGTGATATCAACACAACTCTAATAACACAACAGAACCCAATAACACAACAATGTGTAGAGAGTCTCTATTGTTCTCACTAGCCCTGTGTCACTATTAGATAATGAACACTAGCTTAAGAGAGAGCTTTCTCTTGCTTTCTCTTCTTTTCTTCTCTTTCTTCTCTAGTTTATATTATCATTACCAAGATAAGTGAACCCTTCAAGCACTGCTTTGTATGAGAAACAGGCTTGCAGGAGGTCTCTGATGTTCTGAAAGAAAAATAGCTTCACTTTGATATTTTATGTGATTGGCTGAAAGATTACAAGCTGGTGAGTTCACCTCTAGTTATGCCTGTGCTTTATGTGGCTATTAGATTTTGTCTTTGTGTGGGGTTTGATTTGTGGAGAGACTAATGCTTGCTAGCAGTTGCTGCCAGTGTGCAGTTCTCTCCCTTCTCTTCTTATAACTCATCTCTGTTTTCCTCCCTTAGAAGAATTCCCACTCTCTCTTTTGCAGATAAGATTAGGTCTTCAGTAAGTAGTTATAAGAAGTTTGAGAAGTGTTCATAACTAACAGTTCTAGAGTATTGTTGTTTCTTCTCTCCCCTTTTCATCAGTTGTCATCATGTCTCTCACACCAGCTCAAGCTGTAAGTACTTCTTGTGAGCTGATATTGGTTCACATGCTGATGAAGTTAGAGTTCTGCTACTCTATCTCCCTCTCTCATGGTTGTTGCTCTGGCCCTAGCCAGAAATGTGAGTATTCTCTATTATATTTCAGTTCATAGCTAATGTTCTCTAGGTTGTTGTTGCCATTCCCTCTGCTCCAGCAGAGTTTGTGGGTGCTGTGATCTTGCAGAGTGCTTGGGACTGCCCAGCACTCTCCCCACAAGATTAACAATAGTGGTTCCAGACTACCTTCATTCAATTACTGCCAGCTGCTACTTTTGCTAGTGCATTACAGATCAATCCAGTAGTCCTTTCAGGCCTCTTCTCTCACACAGGGGCACAAGCTTTGTCTGCCTGCAAAAGAGCATGATGTCACAAATCTATTCAAAGACCTGTGCTTATTGCTGGTTTGAATAATTCAAATCAGTTGTCTGTTCACACCCAGCTTCACAAGAGTATTCTTATGACTAGAGCTGGGGTTCAGCTGTCACTAGAACAGAAGTGCTCCACCTGCAAGAGAGCTCAGCAGGGCTATAGCAATATAGTCTTTGCAAAGTATATCTCTGCAGGCTTGGGTCAAAAATATAACAACTGTCTATATTATAAGCATCTTGCTTACTCTTTCCAGCAGTGAGATTATAAATAATTGTTACAGATCTTTACAGAAGAAGCTGAAAACTCTAATTATATAGTCTTAGTTTAGTTTTTTCTTCTTTTGTTTTGAAATTAATTGAATTCAGTTCAGTTTGACTATGCCTTTTCTCTCTCTAACCTATTTTCTAGTTCCACTACCTCCATTCATTTCTTTTGTGAACCAGGCTTGTCCAGGTTTCTACTATAGAATTATTGAAGTAGCTTTCTCAGTGGACAGACATTACTTACAGAAACCCATATCTTGTTCTTCTTATTATTATATTCTTCTTAATGTACTCTGTACCACAGCTTATGACTCTTTCTCTTCAAGTTAATTATCTTACAGATCTGGTACTTCTTTTCATTCTTGTTCATTTCATGAACTTTATGATGAGATGAGTTATCAATTTCTTTACAGATCTTGTGTTTACAGAGCAGAGATACATGAAAGATATCATGAGTTTACAGATCTGAAGACAGTTCCAGTCTGTAGACTTGCAAGCCTATCTTCTCCATAATTTTACAAGACCCATGCCTCAATAAATCCAGTTTTTTGTTAGGCTGTATGGTCTTGATATTATGAAGGTCAAGCCACATCTTGTCTCTCATCTGAAAGATCTTTGTGGTGTGCTTCTGATTATAGTACTTCTTCTAATAGGCTTGTGCCTTTGTGAGCAATTTCTTGATCTCTTTACAGAGCAATCTTATTGTCTCTGTCTGATCTCTTGAATTCTTGCACATATAGTCATACTCATCAGAGTTCAAGAATTCCATTCATGGATTCAGTTCATATGTCAGCTGGAAAGATGATTTCTGTGTGGAAGTCTGTTATGAGTTATTATACACAAACTCAGCCATTGGCAGCCATATCACTTAGTCATTCTGATTATAATTGACATAGCTTTGCAGGTACTACTTCAGCACATTATTCAGTCTCTCAGTCTGATCATCAGTTTGCAGATGGAATGCTGTGCTTATTACTCTTGCAATCTTTAAGATGTGAGTCAAATCACCTCAAAATTCACTCACAAACAGAGATTCTTGATCTGTTACTATGCTTACAGATAATCTGTGCAATCTCACTATCTTGTAAATAAAGAGATGGGCCAATTTCTCTGATGTCAGCTTCTTTATTATAGGAATAAAGTGAGCTATCTTTATGAACCAGTTCACTATAATCAGGATACAGTCAAACTGTATCTTCTCAAAATTCAAGCTTACAGAGAGATCTGTAATAACATCCATGCTAATAGATTCTCAAGAGTAATTTGGAATTGGTAAGAATGATAGTTCTTCTTAGAGTTTTTCACAAACTCTTCTTGAGCTCTGGCAGACTCTACAGGCTTTGCAACACTTATTCACCAGTTCTCTCATTCTTGGTCAAAAATATTTGCAAGCTATAAGCTTATACATTCTTGCTGTAGCAAAATGCTCTGTAAGAGGTAGGTCATAATAATGTCTAATCAGCTCTATTTGCAGAGCCTTATTCTGAGAGATGTACACACAACTATCTCTATAGAGAATACTCTTCTTCTCTTTCCACATCACAAATTTCTTTGTGCACATCTTAATGCCTTTGTGGACCTCAGCTGCATAGTCATTACTTTGCAGTAGATTTGGCAGTAATGCTAACAGGTTGAAGCTGCTCTTTTTATAAGAATTCTTCTTACAGATCAGATCTTTGGCCTTCTGAATCTGTATTGCAATCTTCTTCACTTTACATGTGCCTTCCAAAACAACCTTTACAAGTAGTTTCTTGATCTTAATCCAAAACTTTACAGAGATGAGTTGTGCATTCTCATCTTCTTCCTTCTCTCTCTGATTGGGAGAAACTTGAGCTATTAGTTTCAACTTTTCTGTGGTCTCTTGCTTCTTTGTGACCATTACTCTTAGTTGATTTGCAGTCTCACAACTCTTTTTATTATCTAGACCAGTCTTCTTAGCATAGTCAGATCTTTGTGAGAGTTCATCTGCTGGGTTGTTAGTTTCTTTCACATGATCAACTGTAAATCAAAAGACTGTCAGTCTTTGTGTTCAGCAGACCTGTCTTTGCAAGAGATCTTGAGCAGTCTAGAAGTAGTGCAAGCTATCATGATCTGTAAGAACTTGAACTGATGTTCACAAGCCTTCTAATCAGCAGCATCAATATCTAAATAACTTCACAATTGTGAGCAGTTTCTGATCATGAATATTATAGTTCATCTTCACAGGTTGCATCTTCTGTAAATAAAACCTAACTGAAACCCAGATGTCATTCTTTGCTAGCTGTAATAGAATATCACATATCATAAAGTCAGATACATCTGTTCCCATCTGATCTTCTGTTCTATATTAAAATGGTGAAGCATAACAGCTTCTGCAAATGCTCTTTTCAGACTTATGAAGACTTCATGACCTTTCTCAGTTATGAAAGTGTTGGCTTCTCTTCTTATCTCTTTTCACATGTGTCTGCTTAGCTTTGCTTCTCCTCTCTTTAGGAGAGCAGTCAGACTGTGGGCTATCTTAGAGAATCTTGAAATGAAGTGCCTGTAAAAGTTTGCAAATTCTAAGAAGATCTGAATCTCTTTCTTACTGGTTAGCTCTAGCCAGTCAAGAATAGTGTCCACACAGCTCTTCTCTATAAGAACACTCTCTGGTGTTATAACATACTCAAGGTAGTTAATCTCACAAGTATTGAACTTGTACTTTGCCAGCTTGCAATAAAGATCTGCATTCTTGAGTATTTTAAGTACCAATTTCACATGCTTCTCATGGTTTTTCTTGTGAGCTGAATACACAACCACATTATCAAGATAGGCCACTGTGAACACATCCAGATATTTGCTAAGTATCTTTATGATATATGATTGGAAAGCTGCTGGTGTATTTGTGAGTTCAAAGACACTATCAAGTACTCAAATAGCCTCTGTAAAGTCTGAAATGCAGTCTTCCACTCATCTTCTTTGCAAATTCTCAGTCTATAATAGATGTTCTTGATATTTAACTGAGTGAATATTGCAGCTCCTGTAAGCTTATACAACACATCTTCAATCAGTAGTAGAAGATATCTATTCTTGACTGTTTTTGAATTCAGATTGTGATAGTCCATACACATTCTTAGTTCATCATTCTTCTTGAACATGAACAGAATGAGTGCTTCTGCAGATAACTTGAAAGACCAGATGAACTTATAGGTTAGAGCACTGCTCAGATATTCATAAAGAGTTCTCTTACTCAGCTTGCAAAAGTCTGTATGTTCTTCCAAATCCTGGCTGCTTCTCTGGTTCAAGATCTATAGTCAAATTATCTTTACAGTGTGGTGGCAGCTCCCAAGCTCTCTTGTTGCTAAACACTTTCACAAGTTTGTGGTAGACTTCTGGTATCTGGAGGTCTAGATCTGCTGTCACCATCTGTTCTGATTTGCAGAGAATCATTATATAGATAGGCTTCCCTTCTTCCACAAGCTCTGAGAGATTAACTGGTTTAATCTTCACAAGCAGATTGTGACACAGTTTGGAACTTTAGTCTTAGTTTCTTGAAACACATCTTGAAATTGTGTTGCTGCAGCCAGCTCAAACCCACTAGCATCTCATCTCTTATATTCATAATTATCACTTGTTCATGGAACAACTGCCAGTTTCCCTGAGAGTTACAGACTTTAAAGAATATATTCACAATCCCTTTCATAAGAGTGATATTCTCATGGTCTATAGCAGTTTCAATCTCTATAGGCATCTTGTGGATCTCTAGATCTAGCTTTATGGCCAATCACAAACTGATCACTAGAGATTGACAGCCCAAATCTATTAGTGCTCACCAGGTAATACTCCTGTCAGTTGGGCTTTGTGCACCTAGAATAATAGAGAGGAGAGCAAGAAGACTGTTCTTGAACAACTTCATTATATTGATTCTATCTAGTCACAGCCTCTCAACTTTCTATTCACTATTCTTCTTCTTCTTGAGACAGTCTTTCACAAGATGGCTCTTTTGGCCACACTCAAAGCACCTTCCATTCTTTTTCAAGACTTCATAATTCTTGATAAGGTTCTTCCCCATCTTCTGAGCAGGTCTCTGGAGTTGACTTCTCTTATTCATTTACAGTCTTGAGTTATTAATCTTCATACCTTTGTAAGCACTTCCAACTGGATTGGTAGACTTCACATGTGAGGTATTCTTCATATAGGCTACTGACACACTTGGTCAGAGCTGGGTGGCCAGTGCTACTATATTATTAATGTCATCTAGTATCTCCAGCTGTTCATCCAGTTTGGTTTGCATAGGCTTATTCAAGCTCCATATAAACAGATTCTTCTTCATTTTTACAGAATCTTCAAATTCTTTGCCAATCTCTGTTATGAGCTCTAGAAATTATTGGTGATAGATATAATCAGTTTCATCCAAACTTTTGCAAAGGCCAAAGGTTGCTTGTCAAGAGTTTCATGTACAGTTTGCTGGATCTTCTAGCCTCACATGTAGAAATTCTTTAAGGCTAGTTCAGTTGTTTTTTGATGGATTATCTTTGTGGTGGATCTTCCAAAGATCTTTCTCAATATAATTGAGTCCTGTGAGAGCATATATGAGAATATTCTCATCATTCAGTTTGCTTGCATCACAAATGGATTCAATATCTGAGATGAACTAGTAATATTCTGTGTAGGTTCCAGTCTGGTAGCACTTTGTGTGTTGTGGTGGTCTCAAGATTGACAGACACTTTGTGGGTGTTGGGTTGGAGATGGCCATATCAAGAGATTCACTTTATGAGTGCTTTTAGATGTTCTGGAGAGCATTCAACTTCTCTTGCCATTTTACCATTTTCTTTAGTAGTTTGGTCTCCTCACAAAGCTGTTGGATTTTGTCTTTTAGTGTCAGAGTAGACTCTCTCTCTGAGTTTATGGTGCTTGTTTCATCAACAGTTGAGAGAGGTAATATGTCAAGATTAGTTGTCTCTTTGTAAACTTAAGTTTGTTCTTCAGGTAGCTTTTTGGCTGGTGTTCCAGGTTTGTGAGTTTCAGGGGGTTAGCTTCTTTGTGTTGATACCATTGTTGGGTGTCATCAAAGAAGAG